CTTCTGACCTCCACGGGCATTGCATGACACGGGTGCACTTACCTACATGCAGGCAATACAAGCATACACATAAAATAAAAACAATAAATTTAAAAAAAAACAAAAATGTGTGAATATTATGAACATTTGCATTTGGAGAAAGTAATGTTTTAGAATGCAAATCTTTTGTTATTCACTGCTAACTTTGAGTTCATTCTATAGCCTTTCCCAAACCATCCCAACATAGCCTCGTAAGGTTCAAAGTATATCTCAAACAAGGCCATGTTTAACTAAGTCCACAAAATGTTACTAGACTACTTGCCATCTGCTGCAAGAAGCTTCTCTGGTGAGTGTTGAGAGATACATTAATCTATGGGAATTACAATAGGTCAGTTTAATACTATGTCTGTTTAGAAAACTAATAGTAGTAGGTGCTCCCTTATAGCCTGTGACCTGTCTAGACACATTCTTGGCCCTGATAACAGTGTATGGGCTCCAACTTGTGAAATAGGTTTTAAATCCAATCAGAAGGTGGTTGGCTACCTTCATGTCACTATTAAATCCAGTCAGAAGGTGGTTGGCTACCTTCATGTCACTATTAAATCCAATCAGAAGGTGGTTGGCTACATTCATGTCACTATTGCACCAGTTGGCATATCTTGCTAGGACAGTCATTATTGTAGCCTACAGAGTTCACAGCTGGGTAAGGCTGATGATTATATTTCTCTTCCAGTAGTATGCATAACACCTTCCAGTACTATGAAAGCTAACCAGTAGAGATATAACTTCAAGGTCAACACCACTTGATTTCTCTTGTGTGTTCTCAGACTCATGTAGTGTCTTTAGCAATAGGGTCTTAACTATCACATTCTGGGAAGATAACCACAAGCAATGGCAGTAGCCAGTAGTGTTTCAGGGTGTGTGGGGAAACCCCTGGCTAACAAATCCAAAAGACGGAGCTCATTGCTGGCAGTGGGCTTTTTATTTGCTAGCCTGTGGACCCAGAACTGGTCAGCATGCAAAGAATAAGAGACTGCATAGTACCCAACCCTAAATGGGATACCTGTTTCACACCCTCTTTTCTCAAGGCTCAGGGATCATTGCAGAAGAGGTGGCAGAAAGACTGTAAGAGCCAGAGGTGTGGGTAAACACCAGGAAACTATGCTGTCCAGACATGACAGGGAAGTTGCACATATGAATCCCCAGTGTTTGTGAAAACATGCACAAGACCTGTGCCAACCCAAAGCAGTCAGGGGCCCAGCATGGATAAGGGATTAGGCAAAAAGCCCCAACCTTAGGTGGGGACCTACTGGCAATTGATAACTTCTGAGAGAAAGAGTCAGTTTTCTTTTCCGGTGTGATGTCTAGTAGGTTGACCGGACTCCAAAGAATGGACCCACACCCAAGAGTATTTGGGGAACACAAGTTAAACTCTGTAGGCCTTTAAAAAGAAAAATAATTATAGAGGACATGAAGTCAGGGGAGAGGTAATAGGGGAGGGGTGTGTTTGGGGAGGAGGGAGAGGGGCCTGAATATGATTGTATGAAATTCTCAAAGAATCAACAAAAATATTTTTAAATATTGCCATGACATACGTTTATAGCATATATAAATATGAGATATCATGGTGCTTCCAAAAATATTAACCTGTTTTAAAATGTTCTTGTAAAATGGTGTGTTTATATGCAATCTACTTGCCTTTTCCTGGTCATTTTCCTACCTAACATAATGTCTGAATAAACACAGTGGCATTGGGATCATGCCATTAGGTTATAATTTAATTTAGATTCCATGTTAGGTGAGAAATGCTACGTGTGGGTGTCGGAGGTCATTATTATAAAAACAGATGAACCTTTGGGGCAGAATTCCAAATCTTTCATATATAAAATAAAATACTGGTTACACACAAGTCACATGTAGCCAAGTTACTGAGAATTTATATACTTTCTCTCCATTTAATAAAGGCTAAGAATTTTCACATATTAAATAATCGGAGCTGATTTTTATATTCGGTGAGTAGGCGTTCTACATTTAGTGGTCTCATTTAATTCTCAAACCATGCTCATGACATAAAAATGTACCTAATAATGCCTACCCTTTCAGTAACCTCTATCCTGTGCTTAGCAAAGTTCAATTTCCTGCCTGAGAGGCCTGTCTGCTGAGCCCCATCTACATCTGAACCCTCCCTGAGCTACCATAGGTCTTGCTCCCACCCCCATGGCTACTGTGTTCCCTGGGTACACTCAAATATGGGCCTGTCTGTCCACATGAGCTGAAATATGTAAAAAGACACTCTGTGTTCCATATGTAGTCACAAGACTGGAAAGAATTCGTGGAACAGATGTGATTTGGGCCCAGGGTGAAACTGGATTATAATAAAGCCCAAAGAAGTCAAACCCCATGCTGTGTATCAACCAGTTAAAAGCAAAATCATCATTTCCAAAGTTAAAAAGCTCAGGCATTGAATCTGTGATAAGAGCAATGGAAAGTATAGCCTGTAGTTATCCTCCTGCCAGGTTTCCACACACAGTGTAGGCAGTAAGAGCCAAGTGTCAGCTGGTGGCTGGATCCAAACCTCTCAGAAGGCATAGTCTACACTAGACAGGTTCTTGAGCAGTTTAAGACAGTAGGCTGGTAATTCAGTAGATCCAGTGTTTGTTTATACCAGTAACAAAATTCACACACCATAAAATTCACCCTTTTGGGAGTAGAGGCCTGGAATTTACTATGAAGACCAGGCTAGCCTCAGTCTTACAGAGATCAGTCTGCCTCTGCCTCTTGAGTGCTGTGATTAACAGTATGTACTATCACACCAGAAAAGAAAAGAAAAAAAAAAAAAACTCACACTTTAAAAGTGTCAACCAAATAATTTTAATGTATTCTCATAAACATATGCAAGCACCAAACCTAGTTCCAGAACATTGGTATTGCCCCCAAATAAACCCCATTCTTAGTAGCCATTATTTTCTTTTCCTACTTCCCCCAGGCCCTGGAGACTGCTAATCCACTCTTCTCAAATTTCCCTAAAATATAGGCTTTTGGAATAACCTTTTGTTAGGAAACAGAAGAATTACTCATTAGGCAGATGCATATATCTGTCCCTATGGGCTGCCCACATACTAGAAAACAGTACAAATATAATAGAAAAAGACAGTGCTTTCTATAAGCCTTGAAAGGCCATAATTTGGAGACATTTTTTAACTTCATATGTTGTTCAGTCAACCATTCCAAGTTTATAAACTCACAGGTACTTTGAGAGTCCAGCTTATCTTCCTTTAACTGCTGGGTCCTTGTGTAAGTCTTTTCCTTTGTTTGAACAGATGAGAACGAATGTTCTAACCCCAGTGCCTGTGGCTCTGCTTCCTGCTACAACACCCTGGGGAGTTATAAGTGCGCCTGCCCATCCGGGTTCTCTTTTGACCAGTTCTCCAGTGCCTGCCATGACGTGAATGAGTGCTCCTCTTCCAAGAACCCGTGCAACTATGGCTGTTCCAACACCGAAGGAGGCTACCTCTGCGGCTGCCCACCAGGGTACTACAGAGTGGGACAGGGGTAAGGTAACCCATTGCCCCACAATAGCAAATTGCGACCCACAGAGTGACAATTCCTCTCCTCAGTGGGTTCAGGCTGCCTGGACTCCCACCACTGCAGGGGTGGAAGGATATAACATGTATAACCCAAGAGATGAAAGTATTGGAGGTTAAGCACCAAGGAGGCACAGAAACTGTGCATGTGCTATAGGACCCCCTGAGCTTCAACGCAAGTATCACTCTTTGCTCTTGGTAATGACAGGAATTGATCTATTCCCTCTCAAATTAACGCAGCTCGAGTGTTGCTATGTGTGGATTACCCAGGCTAAGCGGTGGAAGTGAACATGACCTCACCCTGAATTCTTCAGATCTCAGCAGCTGCTGGTCCAGCAGTCCCTGAAGGAGTCTGTCTCTGTCTTTGCTCATCAGGCTTTTATATTGCCCATAAAAAATGGACAGTCCTAAGAGGCATGGCACTGCCCAGCACAACCCATCTCCACAAGTCTTCCCTTTGGTGTTTAACCTTTCTCAAGTCTTAACAGTACTCTGGTACTGGCCCCATGCATCCCTTCCCTGAGACAGCTTTCCTTAGCACAGAAGATGGGAATTTAGGAGTCAATATGGGTTTTCTTCTGAAAGAATAGTAGGTGAGACAAGCTCTAAGGGACACGGACTAGTCTATCCAACTCTAGTATGTAGTCACATGTAGCATAAAAGACTAGTACTAGTAAGGCTTACATTAGAGCCAACACATTGTCTCTCTCACTAACCAAAATAGGAATTCAGAAACATCAATTTTTTTTAACTTTTACAAAAACTTTATTGAGAATTTCATACATGCATGTAAGGTGTTTTGATCAAATCCATGCCCACTCCCTCCCCTCCAGCTCCTCCCACATCTCCCCATCACATTCTTCTTTTTCTTTTCTTTTTTTTTTCTTCCATTTATTTATTTTTATGGGGCTTTTGGCTACTCTAACATTCCCCCCTCTGAAGAGGTAACCCTAAAATCTTTTAAGGGTTAGATACAAGCTCCAAAATACTTTTGACATTTTTGGCCTTTGGAACAGAGTATGTTGCTAAGAGTCCCAAGGACATTTTGACTTTTAGCCAAGAAACTGGCTACTTTTCTTTGGGGTCTTTTTACCCTAACTGCCTAGCCAATTCCTACCTCCTATTCTTATCATGCCATCCTCTGAAGGGGTTGCCCAGATTGCCAATAGGGAACGGGGACACAGACCATTCTGGCTTCTTCCATGCTGAACAGGGACACAGGGTGAGGCAATTGGAGTACCCCTTCAGTGGGTCTATCTAAAAGACTCCCAAATTGCATAACTTTTGTCTCTAAGGGGAGAAGAAAGTCCTTGAATCATGAATGGGAGATGTGAAGGAGAAGTAAAGGCAAGAGTAATTAGCATTACAAGTTCTAGACAGAGAACTAGAAAAAAGTCAGAACAGGGCAATTTTCAAATGTTCATATGAGAGTCCATTGGAGTTTCTTGACAAGGGCTTCCGAAAGCATCCCTCTATTGGGTTCTTCCTCGTTTTTCTTTTCTTTTCTCTGCCAAGGCTGGACTCGAGAGTGATGGATTCAGGATTTTCTTTCAGGTATTTTGATCGCTGTTGAAGTGGTTAGAATCAGAGTCAGTTCCCTCTCAAAGGCTTCTAGATGGGGAGAAAACAAATTTATCCATCATTTTAGAACAATAGTGGGTTGTCTCCCTTAGCTACAGGTAGGCGCTATAGTATTAGAGACCAAAATTTGAAGTCTTACATCTGAGCAGCACTTTCTGGTTAGGAACAAAATCATCAATGAGAAATAATTGTCTAAATAACTTTTTATGTAGACTTAAGCCTAATGTCTGGGAGGTATAATCCCTTGAACTCTTAAAGAAATGTACTGATGACTTTATTCTTTGGTTATACATTCCTTTTGGGTTTTTAAGACCACACAGTTGGCCCAAATAAATCAATAAATTTTTACACTTAAGGTCATTTGAGGATCTGTTCCTCAGGTCATGTGGGCTTGAGCTCCTAGCTCCTTTCTTTTACCAGTTCCATCTATGTGAAGATAAGTCAAAGGTCCTCTTCAACCATGTCTGGCTTCACTTGGAAGCACGAATGAGATCAGAAACATCAATTATTAAAGCAGGCAGCTTTCTTTGAGCAACAAACACAGACTTTAGGCCCATAAAGCAAAAGAACATCTCTTACCTTGCTTGGGGACATTCCCATCTGCTTCTAGCTCCTTGAGTAAACTGTCTTAAAGGGAAGCCCTGGACTCATCCTCAGAAGAATTTTGAAAAATAAGAGGAAATCTCACCTGTTGAGTACTGAAGAATTACAAAGATTAGCTTTTGTGATTAAGAGTTTAGAGTTTGCACTGTTGCTTACATATTTCTGAATTCTTTACGCTAGAAAAAAAATTATCCAGGCCAATGCAAATGTCTAACAGTACTTTGCTTCTTCTAAATAGCCACTGTGTCTCAGGAATGGGATTCAACAAAGGACAGTACCTGTCTGTGGACACAGAGGTGGATGAGGAAAATGCTCTGTCCCCAGAAGTATGCTATGAGTGCAAAATCAATGGTTACTCCAAGAAAGAAGGCAGGCAGAAGAGGAGCATGCAGGAGCCCGAACCCACCTCAGCTGTGAGTAGATTCATTCTGCTTTGTCAATTTATTCACATGAGCCCTGCACATGATGTGGCTTCAGCTTCAGTGCAGATGAATCTTTCTGGATCTTTCATAGGTAAATTGATGAGTCCAATGAATAAAGATTGGATTGATAGCTCAAAACGCAAAAGCCTTAAGGAAGACCGTATGATTTAATTTCAAATCATTTTCTTTTTAGTTTTTTATTTGTGCCATAAGGTATAAGATTCCCCTTTGGGAAATTAATTATTTTGAAATAATTCAAAAATAAAATTATTCTGAACTTTTTCATTTCTGTTTCAGACATAGAAAATACTGTTGATTTTAATTTTCAGTGGGTCAGCCAAGTAGGTCTATTGGTCTGTGACTTGTTTTTAAGTTAAAAGCATCACGAAAATTTTGTCTTCAATTGGTTTGCTTTTGTGAGGAACTGGAAATCTGCCTTCCTTGCCTCTGGTGTTTTCTCCTTCATTGATTTTTGAGCAGTGTGCTCATGGGGTTGGACCACAGACTGCCTGGTTTGGGATCTATTCCTTGGCCCTGCCCATTGATCCCCTGGGTTCTCCTAGGGCATGTGCACCTAACCTCTTGCTCTCAATTCTTTTGGCTGTAAAATAAGAATAGAAACACTTAACCTTTGAGACTGGGTGTGGTGATCCATGCCTTTAATCCCAGCACTCAGGAGGCAGAGACAGGCAGATCTCTGTGAGTTCTAGCCCAGGTGGGGCTACAGGGAGACCCTGTCTCAAAAAGACAAAAACAAAAATTTAACCTTTGAATGTTGCTAGGAAGCCTAATTGAATGTAAACTTGAGAAGTGCCTACAATGGTACCCAGCATGGCCCTTTCTGTGGTGAATATCCACATCTAGAGATGTCAGTGACTTCTTCTAAGATTTCTTGATGCAAAAACACAACTCTCACTTCAAAGAGGATAAGAGATAGTTTATTCTGGAGCCAAATATGAGTGACCATGGCACAGGGACACAGATTTAGATCACCCAAATTTCATCTTCCAACATGAAAGCAGTTTCATAAAGTTTTGTAATAACAGAACAAAGAATGGCATAAATCAAGGCATTTTTCAAATATGTTGGTGGAAAAATTAAGTGGGTAGTTACAGAAAAGTGGCCTCAGATGTTCTGACACTCAGCCTTTTGGTTCATGAAAACTAGGGATTTGTTAGGTTAATACATCCCAAAAAGTTTCTATATGTTAGTAACAGAATGTTAGATCTGACACGGAGGTGGGTAAGGAATGGGTATTTAGGGGACTAAAGAGAGCCCACGATAAGTTGATATTAGGCTCTGGACTTACAACATTCCAAAAACTCTCCACAATCATTGAAGTTCTAATCAGTTACTCAGCATTGCAGAAGGTTAAGTTTGAAAATGCAGGGGTTTTGCAGGAGGGTGTGGGGACTTTAGCTCACAGATCAGAGACACTGTCAGGTTACCAGTCAGTACTTGTTGCTTATTAATGTTATTAGGAATTGCCCCATCAAAAAATATAGTCACCAACTGTACCAGCTGCTTTTCTTTTGCTGTGATAAAACACAACATCCAAAAGTAACTTATGAAAGAAAGAGTTATTTTTGGCTTATAGTTACAGAAGGAGAGTCCATAATGGTAGGGAGCAGGCCGTGGCATCGGTATCATCACAAGAGCAGAAAGCTGAGAGATCACATCTTTAACTTCAAAGAGAACAAACTAGAAGTGGGGCAAGGCTATGAACTCTCAAAGCCCCCCCCCCCAGTGACCTACTTCCTCCAACAAGACTGTACCTCCTAAACATCCACAAACAGTGCCACCAACTGAGACCTACGTATTCAAATACCTGAGGCTATGAGGAACATTTCTGATTCAAAGCACCACATTCTACTCCCTGGCTCCCTAGACTCATGGCCATATCATAATGTAAACTGCATTTAGTCCAGCTTTAAACATCCCATCGTCTCTAACAGTCTCAACACTATTGAGAGGTCCAAAGTCTCTTCTGAGACAAGGCAATCTCTTAACTGTTATCCCCTATAAAATCAAAAAGACAAATTACATACTCCCAACATACAATGGCATAAAATATATATTCTCATTCTGGTAAGGGAATAGTGGGGAAATACTGGACCAAAGTGAGACCAAAAACCAGCATGGAAAACACCAAATCCTTTAGCGCCATGTTCTATATTGGTGACTTTTCATTGCAAAGGGATTAAAGGGCTTCAGCCCTCCAACTTTGCCTTCTGCAACACACATCTCCCTCTTGGGCAGATTCCATTCCCTATATGCAGCTCTGCTTGGAAGATAACTCTTGGCTCTAACATCTCCAACATCTTGGGGTCTCGACTGAAATCCAGGCTTCACTTTCACAGCGGCCTCTCAAGTTCTCTAGGCCTAACAGGAACTTCTCACAGTGGCTCCAGCACTGGCACACATTGCCTAGATTCGGTGGCTCTTTAAAACCTTGGAGGCAGAATCCATGATCCTTCAGTCTTGCATTTTCCATGTCTTTAAATCCAGTGCCACATAGACAACATTGCCAAATTTGGCTGCTAGCTTGAGATGGATCATTGCCCTCATGAATCAGATCTGCAGCAGCTTTTGTATGTTTTTCTTTTCTGGGATCATAAAACTCCTTAGGCCTTTTCCTTTCATATGTTTGGAGTTACCTAGATGGAGTTTTGTCCAGTGGCACCCTTCCCATTGCTCCAGTCCAGAGCAGGAGGCCTCCCCTTAACAACACTAATCTCCTTAATAAATATGGCCCCTCTCTCAGCACATGTTTTAACTGTAACATTAAGCTCCCTAGCTCTCTTTTTCTCTCTAAACCTACATTTTGAATTTCTTTCTTTCCCCTCTGGCTCTTTTTCACTGTAGACAGGCATAGAGTTATCAATAATAACTGAGCCACAGATTCAACATTATGTTGTCTTGAAATTTCCTCTGCCAAAGAAATTAGTGCATTGCTTTTTAATTTAGCCTCAGGCAAGTTCTTAGGACAAGGACAGAGGCAGACAGATTTTTCACCAAAATATCATGATTGGCCTATAGCCCAGTTGCTGTTTAAGCCCTTGCCTCCCTCTGAAATCTCTGGGGCTGTGTCTATAAAGTCTTCAGTATTCTCAGTACTGCTGTCTTCCAGCCTCTTACTAGAGTGGTCCTTTAAGCTCTGCTTACAGTATTCATCTGTTTTTCTACTCAGAAGTTCCAAAGTCTTCCTCATGCCTCCAAAAAACAACATGGTCAGGTTCTTCACAGCAACAGCTCACTCTCTGGTACCAACTTTTATATTAGTTACTTTTCTGTTGCTGATAAAACACCATGATTAAAACCAACTTCTTCAGGAAAGAGCTTGTTTTAGCTTATGACTCCAGAAGGTGAGTCCATAATGGAGGGGAGGCTGGGCAGCATTCATCATGCATAGCCATGGGATCAAGAAGCTGAGAGCTTACATCTTCAACTGCAAACATGAAACAGAGCAAACTGGAAGTGGGGCAAGGGTATAAACTCTCAAAGCCCACCCCCAGTGACATACTTCCTTCAGCAAGGCCATACCTCCTAAACCTCCCCAAACAGCACCACCAACTGGGGACCAAGAGTTCAAATACCTGAGCCTAATGAGGAACATTTCTCATTCAACTAACATAGCAACTAACTGGCTGTGTAAATTAGCAACTTGCTTCAGTCTTCTGGACATGAGAAACTTTCCTTATCTATATGACCATATTTCTTTAACCTAAAAAAATTTTTCTGATACTATTTTATAACAATAAGTTAACATTATATTTACTTTAAGTACGCTGAGGTATCCAACTGATGTTTAATCATGACAAGTTATTCATCAAGATATAAGACCTTCCCTTCATGGCACTTGGAACATAATTTTGTCTATACACTGATAGGTTCTCCTGGGCTACTGTAGCTACTTCTTACTTAAGTATCCATGTAAAAGCATTATGAAATTTGGGACTCTCTTACTAAAGTGGTGTCCTTTCCTCTTGTTCTAGTTTGCTCTTTGTTGCTGTGTTAAAACACTGACCAAAACCAACTAGGGGAAGAAAGGGTTTATTTCAGCTTAAAAGTTATAGTTCATTATCAAGGGAAACCAGGGTAGGAGCTCAAGGCAGGAATCTACACACCTTGGATTGCTCAACTACCTTTGTTATATAGCTCAGACCCACCTCCTCAGGTATAGCACTGCCCACAGTGGCCTGGGCTCTCCCACATCAATCAGTAATTAAGAAAATGCCTCACAGACATGCTCACAGACAATTCCAATTGAGGAAATTCCTTGGTTGAAGTTCCCTCTTCGCAGGTGGCTCTAGTTTCTCTCAGTTGATAAAAACTAAGCAACAAACCTCCCACCCCTCTGACCAAGTCAGACCATATCTGAGTTCCCAATAAACTGACTCATCCTTTAAAGCACTTTACAAATCAGAGCAGAGCCCGGAGTGTGAAGATTCCTCTCAGTGCAGGGCCTGTGCCAAACAACAGCAGCACTTCCCATTTTGATGCCTTTTTATGTTTTCTTTTTAACGTTTTCTCTTTTAAATTAATTTTTATATATTATTTGAGAATTTCATACAATGTTTTATAATCATATTGATTCCCACTTCCTCTCTCCAACTCCCCAAAGAACCCCCCCAATACAACACATCCCCCTTCTTAACTTTATGTCCATTTCTTCTTTTCTTTCTCTTTTTCTTTTTCATATCCCACTGTGTCCAATTAGTGCTGCCTATATGTGGGTATGGGACCATTCACAGCAGAGTGGCAGCCTGCCAGAGACCACACTATCCAAAAAAAAAAAGACATGATATTGTATAAACTCATCAAAACCTTGAAATGTGACTGTTCTTGTATAACTAATTATCTCTCTGAGAGTGGGTAAGAAGTTGTAAAGATTTGCCAGGCATCCTTTGTGGAGTAAAGTTTCCTCCAGGCTGGGAGGAATCTACATTATCCTCTCTCACAGACAACTAGTACAGAAACAGGGACCAGGAAGCTTCAATATACCATTGAACCCCAGCAGCCACAGATAGCTTTTGAGTCCCCTGCATGCCCAGTGGAAATCTGTCACAAGTGATTTTCTATTCTTTCTCCAGGTGGAGCAGATCAGCCTAGATAGTGTCTCCATGGACAGTCCCGTCAACATGAAGTTCAACCTCTCTAGCCTTGGCTCCAAGGAGCACATCCTAGAACTTATGCCTGCCATTGAGCCCCTCAACAACCACATCCGCTACGTCATCTCGCAAGGGAATGATGATGGCATCTTCCGCATCCACCAAAGGAACGGGCTCAGCTACCTGCACACAGCCAAGAAGAAGCTCATGCCCGGCACATACACACTGGAAATCACAAGCATCCCTCTCTATGGGAAGAAGGAGCTGAGGAAACTGGAGGAGCGCAATGAAGATGACTACCTCCTAGGGCAGCTCGGGGAGGCTCTCAGAATGAGGCTGCAGATTCAACTCTATTAGCCTTTTGCAGACTTGGGTCCCAGCATAGATGCCAGCACAGGCTTCAGAACCATTTGGAGTGTCAATGGCTAATTTGAAAATGGAAAAAAAAAGACTTGTGTTTCTTTCCTCCCTGCTCAGACTTTGGAATGTTGACCTTCACAGGGAGGGATAATTTAGACTCTGATGTGGCCAAAGATTTGAGTGCAAAGGCAACCATAGTTACTGTATTTTTTATATAACTTCATTTTAAAATATATTAAAAAAAACTAAATGTTCAAGAGATCAGCATATGGCACTAAATGCACAAAAAATAATGTGAGCTTTTTTTCCTATTAGCAGTCTGTAACACTTTGGGTATTTTGCTATAGTTGCTAATTAAAAAAATATAGATGTTTATTTATTTTAATGCAGTAATATATGGAGAAATGAACAAACTATGTAAACAAAAAAAGGGAAACTCACTTGTTTTTCTTTAGATTTATAAATTTGAGCTATTTCTTTTAGAGGTGCTTCGTTAAAAATTTCAATAGATTCAAGAGATGTTTCCTTTGGTTTTGTGCCAGTTCTCCAACTGGTACGTACCTGACTATTTTAAAGAAAGCCTTAGAGAGCTGAATGGGCACTGTAATCAATAGTTTAAAAGACATGAATGTGGTTAGATCCTGTATAAAGGAGATCAAAGCCAGAGTAGCCCATGTGACAATATTTCACATCACCAGATTCACCAGGCAAAGAAAGAAACACAACCACTGTAGCAAAATACCTTGACTGCTAGTGAGGCGATAGCGTTGCAGACCAAACTGTACTGTATTTTCTTCTTGTAACCTCAAGGAACCACATGTGCTACCCACAACACCTCATTCCTACCCAGGGCTCACTGAGCACTTGTGGTCCCGTAGGCAGCTGAAGAACCGCCATTCCTTTGAGCAGGAACACCCGGCGTTCTGTAGTGTTTGGTGCTGTCGTAGATTAATGGTGCATTTATTATGTTCAAGCTATTTCAGGATTGCCATATGTGCAAACAAATCTTGCTGTGCAGCCAAGGAATATATATTGGTGTTTTTTTTAAACCCATTTTTTTTAGAATTTTCATTAATACTATAGTTATACACCATATGCCTTGTTTTACCATAGCTTATTGTGTATGAAATATGTTTGTAAAATGAATTGTTTAGTTTACTTTAGTCATTTAAAAAGATACAATACCAGGAGGTGCTAATAAGAATACATCTCCGTGTTCTTCTCTACCCAAGAACCTGTCCCTGGACCAGTGACCAAACCTCATATGTGAAATGGCCAAAGCACACACAGACTGCCAGTCATTCCTCTCATATGTGTGTTGACCAAAGATTAGCAACCAGTTATAGCCAATGTTTGGGGCTTTTTGTTTTGTTTGTTTTTAATAACTAAAAAGGAAAAAGAGAAACTGTAAATTTGTAATCAAGTATCTGTGAGGAAAAACTTACGGTTTTGGTTGTGTTTGTTTTTGTAGGTCTGTATATCAAAAATGACACTTTTCTTGCAATAAAGCTTATTTTGGGGTAGTTTTACGGCTGAGAGTTTTATGAGACTACAAGCTCTGGTACGTTTGTGGAAGGCACTGGGGACTTTACTCACAGAGAGTTGTTGAAGAACTAGATGGAGAGCTGGGCACTAGAGCAGGAATGTAAAGGAATGCTGTTAGTATGTGAGAAGAGCGAGTCTTAGAAGGACGGAGTTACAGCAGTGGGCTTGCTTATTTTTGCATAGATTCCAAGCTTCTCGGGACACAATTGTCAGGTGACCGCAAAAGAACTTCATTTCTTTCACCAGTACACGTGTGGAAGCAATCGCAGTTAAGCACCCTAAAGCAGAGGGAGAATAGAGCAGAACATTTTCTGAACCCCACTTTTTAAGCCAAAATATATGGATATATCCCAAGATAAATGGCATCTGCACTAAAAGCAGCCCAAAGCTTCTTATCTCTGACAGTGCTATGCAGTTTACTTTGTGAAATGGATTGATTTAACATGGACTCCCTTTTGGTACATTACTAAAATGAGCACAAAAAAAAAAATGTTTCCATGTCTCATAAGTTAATTCAATCCATAGTAAGAATTTGTGTGATTGAATTTTTCATCCAAGGAATAAGAAAACAAGGAAATATTGTGACTGATCTTAGTACTGTTCTTTGCCAATTAGAAATTAGCTATGTAGAATAAGAAAAGTACTTGCCTCAGGGCATCCTTTAAGACTGAGCATGCACAGTCAGCTTCATCTGGAATCTATTAATGGTACAGCGTGAGCATTGTGATGGGAAATGACCTGGAACCGAATTTGACTCTGGCTCTGAATATAGACCAACAACACTCTTAGTTTACCTTTAACCTGCTTAGGAGGAAGTTTGGAAATCTACACTGCTGGGAGCTTCATGCAGAAGATTAAAAAAATATATTAGGGGTGCTACAAAGAATTTGCTAGAAGAAAATGACTTCAAGAAGCTTTTTACCAAGAAGGAGTGTTATGAGAATCTCTGGTAGCTTTATTGTGACTGTCTTAATTATGAACAGACAGCCTCAATTTATGTCTTTCTGATAACTACTAAGGATGTTTTGGGTACCATTTTGTCATTCACATTTGTCACAGAAATTTACACAGCTAAATTGTTTTTTTAACCTTCAGAAAGTATAATGTCAACTCAGAAACCAAACCAAACCCAGTGACTACATGTATTTGTAACAATGGTCTTCAGATGGTATGAATTCTCTCTCTACCCACATTTAGATTCAGAGCTTTTCTTCCAGATGTATTTTATGTGTATGTTTTGCCTGCACATATGTAATTGCACCCATGTCTCAATGCCTGTGGAGGCCAGGAGAGGGGCGTCGGATCCCCTGGAGCTAGAGCTTCAGATAGTTGTTAGCTGCCATGTGGGTGCTGAGAGCCAAACCCAGGTCCTCTGCAAGAGTAGATGGTGCTCTTAAACACTACTGAGCTATCTCTCCAGCCCCTAGATTCAGAGCTTTTAAGACTTCTATCCTGATTAGTGGTTTTTGATGTTACTGTCAGCTAATAGTGCATGAAAGTCACAATAGTGCCTAGAAATTGGAAATAATTCAAGATAGCATTTAAATTGCACTGAATTCAAACATCTGCCTTTCTTAGTTATCTAAGGATATTGAATAATATCATTCACACTGTCTTTCCATTCTAGATAGTCGAAGGCTTTACCTTGCATTAATTGTCGTCTTGGAGTACAGAATAAATATTTGGGATTAAGCATGAGAAACACAACTAAAAATTCTAGAATACTGGTCTACTTGAGTCCATCAAAATTTTAGGGAACAAAGAAATTCATATATTAAACTGAAGCAAAGGAAACTCAATGTTTAGCCAGAGTTGACTTACAAGATAGCAATTTTGCATGCTCAATTTAGCAGTTCAAAAATATCCAAGTTCTTCAAAAATAGGCTGGTAATCTGAAAGTTCCCCTTCTCTGCAAAAGACAATAAACTCCATTCACTCCTTCCCATGGTGCTTGTGGCTGATTTGCACCCCAAATCTACAATAGTTCACAGAGGATTGCATAATTTATTCAAACAACTGCTTTCTTTCCTACCCCAGGGTCATTAGAGAGAAGCTAAATCACTCATCATCCCTGAGACCTTGATAAGCTTAGTGAAAACTGCGTAAAGACAAGTCTAATTGGGAAAAATTAAAATAGAGCATAATTCCTTTAAGAGTAAAGTAAGAATTTCAGGAACCTTTACTTCAAAGAAGACAGAGCAAAAGACGCTGGCTGATGGCTGCTTCACGGAAGAGGAGGTGTCAGCTTTTGTCGCAATCTACATCTGACTCTTGCTCCTTTTTAATTGTTTAAGCATGCTCACTTTCTTAAATGCAAATCCATGGTTTCCTTGCTGAATATGAAGTGTGTTTTTCTGACTCAAATTATCTTTGAAAATCCTTTCAGTGCGTAGAGCAGTGGGATCTGAACACATAATGCACAAATAATTCCATTGAGTAATTCAACCCCTGAAACAATATGCTATTGTAATTGTTAAAAAGCTCCATTGAAGTAGGCAAAATTAAAGTTCAATTCCGTTTCCGTGACTAGTTATGCCTTGATTGGTTGCCTGACTTGATCTTTTCTTACAGTATGGTTAGGAGGGTTGACTGAAATAGGACACCCTGTGTTAGTGGAGGGCTAGCAGGTAGCAGGGATCCAGGAAGACCTGCAGCTTCTCCCTTTCCATCTCACGGCCACTAGAGAATGAACAAGCCTACATGGTCATGCAAGGCCCCTTCCTAAGCATGTCTCTGAAACTACCGCTGCAGCACCAAACTGTAGTACCATGTTCAGATACAGCATCCAGAAGAACCAGTCCGCCAAGTGCTCTACACAGAGAGATCATTGGAAGCCCTTATGTTGCCACCAGTGTTTACAATTGGCACGCTCCTCCCTATTTATTGGAATTCGGGGACTACAGCCCTAGAAATCCAAGCTACAAACTGAGCGAGAGCTCTCACACCTACCGCACCCCCACAAAACTGAGCAGAGAAACCATGCACACCAGTAACCCCCATTACAATGATTTATTATCATGGAAAGTCAGAAACCTACTCAATATTTGCAGGTAAAGAAACTGAGGCCCAGATTCGTAGGAGCTCAGTGCAGTGCCAGTTTCCACACAAGTGAGACCAGAGCCCTGACTGTCTGGCTGAAGTCCGGTGTTATTCATACTTCCGCTACATGGTAAGCCTATTTGGATCTCTTTTAAGCCCTAAGGATATAGGCCAGTTCCCATGGTTTTGGCTTCTACTGGATCCAAAATGTTTTCCAAGCACGATTTAAAGACTCCTTTTGTTTTGTCTACCCCACCCTCTGTGTAACTGCTCCCAACATCTCATAAACCAGAGATTTGTATATGCACTAAAATGCCAAGACACTGGCTGCAATACAGCAGACCCCACCCAAACCCTGAACTTCTTTAAAAACACACTAAAGTCACAGCTTCAAAGGGTTAAACAGTTTATTTAAACCAGACCTCCATATTTTAAAAACACATACACATTTCTTTAAGAATGCTCCAGGAAAGTACACTAGTTGCTTGTTTCTTAATTGTCTTTTCTCCCTTTCCTGTGAGCCTAAAAAAAGATATTAGTAGATCAAGCTTTCTTTGGAAATAACCAAGAACCTACAGCTCACATTAGTCACCCCCATTAAGGTTGCAGACTAAATGTCAGGATGTAGTATAGACATTTTCCAAAGGAAAACAGGAAAACACTTTGCATAATTCTTAGGGCAAACTATAGAAAAACTTAGCAATAATAGCCTTGCCCAGACAACTGCTGCCTCATGGGTGAGTTCCATTAATGAAATAACAGTAGAAGCTGTGAACAACCAATTCCTGGCATTGTGTCCCCAAAAGCAGCTTATTGGCCTGCATCTATCCCAAGGCCTCCTCCTGTCTCCCTTTTTGCTTTTTGCTGAACTCAACTTGCTGCACTTATGTAACCTGCCCAGTTCTTCTGAGGGTGGGGGTAGGATGTGAGCCTCAGGCATGTGCATCAGTCCCAAGGAAGGTTCTTGGTTTGACCCATGATTATGGACCCGGAACCTAACCTGTGATGACCCTGTGTCTTACTCCTTCTGCAGAACTTCACAGGACCAGGTTTAGAAAATCTCAACAATGAAGTCCTCCTAGATTTGGACCTCATCCAAGGACTAAGAACTTGTCTGTTTTTCAGTTCTGATTCCCTTTCCCATCTCTTTTTGTAATAACAAACCAATTTTACCTTCAGTAATTTCTGACTGCCATTATATACTGTCATGATCACACTGTGTAAGAAAACAAAAGGACATATTTTTGTCTTTCCACAATATCAGAATTTATTGAATCACAAATTCACAAGCTATGTCAGTTTTGTTGCATACAATTTGCCAAGTAGTACCAATTTCCCTTGATAGCTAATAGTTGGCAAATGCAAGTCCTTTTATTCCGATCTTAATTATTAATATTATCTCCCAGATGACACATTACATGTCACACAGTAAATATATACATCTGTGTCTATGTGTATATGATGTGTGTGTATGACTATGTATGTGTGTGAGAGAGAGAGAACTAGAAAAAGAGAATAGGTACAAAGGGTTAAAAGGCTGCAGAGTTTAATGCATTCCAGAAGGTTTGCTGCAGACAGCCGATACAGCTGCAAAGACAGTCACCACAGGTGCTTACATATTAAACAACCCAGATGGAAAGCTGTCTGAGGACACACAGAGCTGCTGCAGGGTCACAGGGTTGAGCCTGGCTACAGAGGCATGGTGCAGAACCAGGCCCAGAGAGGTGAACAGATAGACACACAGCAATTCAAGTGGGCCTCATTAGCAGTGGGGACCAGCTAAGCTGACACCCCAGAGACAGCTGGGAATTCCCTACCTGGGGGTCCCTTGGTGCACACACTAAGTAATCAGATGACAGCTTGGTGGGCTATCATCATCACAGTGCTGGGTGTCCTTCTCAGACACAGTGAGGGCATCTGATATGTTCAA